AGACGAATCTCCAACTGCAGGATATCTACAAACTGCTCCACGCGGTCAGATGTGGCAGAAGGCCGAATTTAACGTGGGGTATCCGAGCCCGTAGACTAGGCCAAAAATTCGCCGTAGACTCCGTATAAAACGGGTTTGGGTAGCTGGTTCCGGAGACGAGACTGCCCTTCGACATAGTCTTGTCTGGGGATCCTCTCTGCCCGAATGCAGAGAGTTTGACCAGCATAGCTGGAGACGAATCTCCAAATACAGGCCAATATACATATTTACTACTGTATTTATGTGAATGGGAACATATCCATCATTGTCCGTAGGTATGCTACTACAACATTGTTATAAATTCAATGGAAGAAGACCTGCCTTTTAAATCTTGCTTAATTTTTTTTTAAACCAAACGACTATCTCACCCACTAAGCAGGCAGTACATAAAAAAAGATATATATTTAATCCGACATTTTTATTACTCAAACGTTAATGTTTGAATTACTACGTCGGATTAAAAGTAAAATGATTAATTCTTTAGAAATAATTTTGTTTCCGTTTCGGATAAAGAAAGCTGAGCAGATACGGAATTTGAGAAAAATCTAGCCAAGAGATTTTGCATACTTTAAAAGGAAAATTGGATGGCTGTTTGGCTGTGACACACTCCATACCCTAACGGTTTAGAGCATGTCGGATTAAACGGTAGTTAATTCTAAAAATAGGAAAGCAGGTTCGAATCCTGCCGGAGGGTGCTTTTTTTTTAATTAAGTTTTCTTGAGTGCGCTGACAGAAAGACACTGTTTAAAATAAAATAAAAAAAGAGACGTTTATGTCAAACACGGGTATCTCCTAAATATAAAATTTGAAGTAATAAAGATATAAAGCGTGAGAAAGAGGGGTTGAACGAATCGAATAAAAAGAAAGACATTTATGATTTGGTTCAAGCAATTCTACCGAAATAGCTTTTTGTACGACATCTAAATTACAGACTTTCAAAAGTAAGCCCTTGCCTCCCTAAACCTGCCAAACAAACTATATTTTATGTTTGGTATTTCTCTTGATTTCAAAACATAGTAAATCCGATGTCGGTATCCCCACTAAAGTTGGCCCTAAAGGAAAAAAAGAATATGTCAATGAGCATTATCATAGCCACAATAATGAATACTGGCGATTGTAGAACTGATCAGAAAGGAAAATAAGCTATTTATTTGCTTAAATCGGAGTTGTTTTTCAATCGAGCAAGTATTTAAGTTAGCAGTTCAAGTAGTCCAATAGAGATATATTTATTTATTGTTTACTATTAGGTTGGTGCAAAAATAATGACGTAATAATGTCGTTTTTTGACGTATTTTTTAACGTCAAAAAACAACATTATTACGTCAATATTTTCGCACCAACCTAATAAATATTGCCCAGTGCAAGACTTCAGATAAAGGATAACAATCGAAATTGTGAATGGGGTGTGTGATATGAAGAGAAAAGAGGGTGGCAGGAAATTAATATCATGGGGATGAGGAGGAAAAATAACCTTGAACTTTGACTTAAAGAAGTTAAGATTATAGTATTCAAGAAAGCATCCACTGTTCCATAAAAACGAAGTTCTTGAGAAAAATGCTGTCTAACTAGAACTTTCTTTTTATCTTTGGAATACCAAGGAATTGAAAATAATTCGATTTCGTGGATGTAGCATGGCGTGACTTAGTTATAAAGGTTTGAATTTGTAGAACTAAAGAATGGATTTCATCTGAATATTTGCCATGGTAATAGCGATGGAATAATGAAAGGCTTGCATTGTTTGATCTGTGGTAAGGAAGCTGCAGTGAACAAAGGGAAAAAAGAAAGGCAAGAAGAGAGATATAAATGAATCTCTTCAAACTTCTATATGAATTTAGATAAATATTTGTCAGATTGTAGTTTCTGAGGGGCGAGCCAGGACATTTTTTGTTCCTCACTGTTTGTTTTGAAATTCGATTTTAAAATATTTTATAAAAATTATCGTATTGTGTACCACTTTGTTAGTCTTGTGAGCTCGACCATCACTGATCTGCTACCTTGTGCCAGACATGTCTATACTTACGCAATAATCTTTATCTAAATTTGAGCGCTGATTGCAGTTGATGTAGCCAAGGTCACGATTTATGTTTCTAGAAACGAACAATAAAAAGGAGATCGATATAAAGAGAAGATTGCATCGATAGGCACATAAACACACATTATAGAAGATTGCATCGATAGGCACATGGACACACGTTATAGAAGATTGCATCGATAGGCAGATGGACGCACATTATAGAAGATTGTATCGATAGGCACATGGACACACGTTATAGAAAATTGCATCGATAGGCACATGGACACACATTATAGAAGATTGGATCGATAGGCACATGGACGCACATTATTCCGTTTGATATTCACTTGTATAAAGGCTTTTAAGGTGCTTGTTATTCCATCCCTTGTGTTCTCTTTATATTTTTCAACGGGTTTCTTCTCTGTGCATCGATTTACTGTCTTTTAACCCCGCTTAATATTTATATAAGCGATGAAAGACAGTGATTCAAAATCAAAGAAGAAAAGGAAAAAAGAAGGAAAATGCGGTTCAAATAAAAGAAAGGCATGAATTTAAATCTAACACCTGGTCATAGGGATGATGATGATGATGATGATGATGATGATGATGATGATGATGATGATCATCATCATCATCATCATCATCATCATCACCATCTCTATGATTGAGCACCCGAACATTTACCAGCACATGCTTAGGTCGAAAGCCGGAGACATTACTCATTCAAGCATGACATGTTCTGGGCAAGTAAACCTGGAAGGGGGGAGCTCCTCTCTCAAACCAGGTTAAACTGTAGCCAATGTCCTCCACCTTGGAGGCTCGCTTTTGTCACGGACTCGTGACCGTTGATTGCATCGTGGGAACCATCCGCCTCGGAGTTGTCTTTAGTCTAGATAACCCTCTGCCTAATAACGCCGTGTTATCACCTCACTGGCTCCATACATGGTTATAGATCTCAGAGTACCTCATTGTGCGAAGTGGCCTTTGACCCCATAACAAAATTGATTCATCAACCCTTTGACAGGTCTTGTTTTTAATCCCGCTGTGTGTCTAGCCACCCTTCTCACCAAAAAAGCTTGGTGGAGGATCGGTATAGTCGCTGATAATCCGAATAAGCAGCAGGTAGTGATGAATTATACATTATCAGTAGCACTCGTAGAGAGAAATGACATAAGAAATTGACAACAAAGGCCTTATTACTTCAAGAAATATTTAAAATTACTTTGAAAATATGGAATTTACACTGATAATTTTGCGGGAAGGTGAAAATTGTTTTACGATATATACAAAGTTATTACCTGAGTTTATATATAACAGGAGTATAATTAAAATAAAAAGGATATGTTTAAATTTAATTCACGCCCACACTCTGAAGAAATAACTAAAAATATATATATATTATTTAAAAGTGGCTAGAATGAAAGAAAGAAAAATGTAAAAATGTAATTCAAGGAAGAAAATCTTTTAAATAAAAAATAAGAAGGAAAGAAAGAAAGAAAGAGAAAAAATAATCGGAATAAAGAAAAAAAATTAAACAAAGGAGACAATTTTTGATGAGTGAAGAGACAAGCCGAAAAGAAATTCAGAAATTTAATTCCCTTCAAATCTGAATTAATCAACATCTTGGATCAATGGATAAACTTTAATTGCCACAATCAAAATGACAGATAAGATTACTAGTGATCTCTGATCCAGCCAAAATCCTACTGAAGCATGGTGTTATAATACAACAAGGAATCTTCACCACTATTCTTATCTTTTTATGCACTACCCCTATTCGTTTAATAGACTAGTTGAGGGAATTCGATCTTTAATGTTCTAAACTAAGCTAAGCTTAGTAAATATTTTAAACACGAACTCTATATGCATCAAAATGAGCGCCCTGGATATCATCATGACTCATCTACAAAAGACCTCTGTTTCTGAAATGGTTCGTAAGTTTTAAGTTTAAAGATGGGCTTAAGTTTAAGCTAAGTTTTTGCTAAAATTCGTGCACTTTCTGGGATTGAATCCTCTTTCGATGCATCAGGGGATTTGGGAGATAGCATTTAAGGAACGGCCAACAGAAACCAAAAGTTTTATCCATCAAAATATTATTAAAAATGAGGTATTGATTTAAATTAATAATTCCAAATCTTTTGTCTTCATAACTTTGCTAGACTGAAAGTATATTCGATGTTTAGTTTAAAACAAAACCAGTAAAATTTGTATATATTCTGTAATTATAATCATTAACTGCAAGATAACGCTTCTTACAATTTGAGTAAATATCCGTGGGAACGGTATGAATCTAACTCTTCTTTTCCCAGCTATGGGTTAATTAGTACGAATTGTATCAGTAAATCATTATTATCTCAAAAAAATTCTTACAATCTATAAATATTTTATGACTTAAAATAACCTACAAAAAGTTGATAAGCAGAAAAAAAAATAATTACTCAATCTTAGAATTTGAGTAATCTAGCTAAAAATGTAAATCGTGGAAAAATCCGGTAAACATATTAAAACTGTAATACGTTTTTAGTTATGATTATAAACAATTGAAAAAATAAATAAAACAATTTTAAAAAAAACAAAAAAACAAAAGAAAAACAAAAACAAAAGAAAAACAAAAACAAAAAAATCAACGTGCATCAATTTGTTTTATTAAGAAACTCGCACCTGAAAACATTTTTTCAAAATGTTACTAAATATCTTATATCAAACGGCATTACTACTAGAAATCAAGCGTTTATTAGGTTAAAGCCTTGGAGTTAAACAGATCATGTGAGCCTTATTTTCAATATGGTGGTAGTTTTATGATAAAATCTGCGTATTATTCACCAGAAAAAAAAATCAGTACATAATGTGGATTCTATCTATTCATGTATGTATGTATGTATGTAAGAACGCATCTATCTAACAATCAACCTACCTTATATTCATGTATGTATGTATGTATGTATGTATGAACGGATCTACGGATCTATCTATCTATCTATCTATCTATCTATCTATGTATGTATGTATGTATGTATGTATGTATGTATGTATGTATGTAAGAACGCATCTATCTACCAATCTACCTATCTATCTATTCATGTATGTATGTATGACGGTATCTATCTATCTATCTATCTATCTATCTATCTATCTATTTATCTATCTATCTAATATGTATATGTACTTATAAGTATATATACATATACCATAAACCTGGCGTATACACATAAAATTAGCTTCAGATTAACTATTCAATTCTTCAGAGTCTCTGGTCTTCTGTCCAGACCGGACACAAGCATCAAGACATGAATAGCAGGAGTCATCATGCAAATAAGGGCGATTCGCAATGCCACCATCTCACAAAGCGGCACTTTCCATTTGACCAATGCTCAGTTATATTTGCTTATAGCAACAGAGGCAGCGGTGGGCAACGAAGAAGAGGAACTCTGGCCTCAAACGCGACAATAACGATGACACGTAGCATGACCCTTAGGTCTGTGATAGGCGTCTTAGAACATTGTTTCGTATCTCTGCTTTTATGAAAAGTTGATCATAAACCCTTGCAAGGCGAGGAACATCGTAGTTACGGCCAGCTAATTTTCTAAAAAGAGTCAATAAGAGAAACTTTTGTGCTCAGTGATTTTCGTCTATGTTCCCATGTAGACTTGAATAAAGGTGGGGTTTGTTTTGTGGATATGTATTTCCGACTGACGCCAGTATTTCAAAAGTTGATATTCGAGGCTGGTAAGCAGACCATCATTTTTAGGACAATTATTCTCTTTTCTTCCGATTCGTTCTTGTGCTAAATTATGCCTCAACTAAACAATGTAGGAAGGTGCATGTGGCGTAATGGTTAGAGGCTCCGAAAGGGAAACTGGCGAGACAAGTTCGAATTCCAGTCGGCTACGTTATATTTACTTTCGCACAAATAGCCTTGGGAACGGTATGAATCTATTTCCATCCAACCATAGTTTGAATAGTACCAAAGACGGGTCTTTTCAGCCTTGGTTGGCAACCAGTTTAGAAGAATGACAACTATGAATTTAAAACCTGTGAAGAAATGTTGGGGATCTCCATTTGTACATTTTCCTGTCCTGGGGATTGTTCTGCACAAGACTTCAACATTATTGTTGAAACTTGACTAATGCATGGAATAATAATGCAACACAAAATGTACTTAGAACAAAATGCATTGAAACAAGAAAGTGTACACATTATTTACATATAGTCTTTTGTATATTCCTGGTAAGACCGTTCCTGGAGAATGTGTTGACTGAGTCGCAGTCGGGCAGAGTCTCTGGTTGAATCTCTTGATTCCCTCCTCTCTTCCCGGTACCAACCATATTTATATGGTCGGTACTCCACTATGCAAATTAGGTGGATACTACCACAACAATTATAATCAAATGATATGTGTAGGGTAGGCTTGCTGATATATATATATATATTCGCTAACAATAAGCACTTAATTCCCAAAACTTAATAAATCCTAATGTTAGATTATTAATTTATATTTTTTATCCATTTCAGAACGTTCGGAATTTTTGGTTAAAAATCTTGGTTTTTCTTGCGTTCGTGGGGGAGCATAAATTAGTACAAGAAAATTTCTCGTTTTTTTTGTGATGAAAAAAAACATTGGTTTGTAAATTGTTGCAAAATTCAAATAATTCTTGGATTTTCATGAAACTTTCGGTACTTATTCACAAAGGAATTAAATTATTTTTGAACTGTTTCCCTTTTAGAAAATCTTGGTAAAAACATTTCTTTTTATATCTTTCTCCCCCACTTATTTGATTTTGTGAAATTTCCAGAAATTCTTTTCTATACGGCTACATTTTTATATTCGTTATAAGTAGAACACATTGAAGAATTTAACTCATCATTTTTATTTTTTAAAACAGGACCCTCAATTACGAAAAATCTTTTCTGAATTAATTAGAAAAAAGTTTTTAATTGCTTTTATGAATAAGATAAATCATGGACACTATCGTCATAATAAAAAAAAACATTTTTTTCGTTTAATAATTAACTGTTATACTTCCATTGAAGTTCCTCTTTCTTAAAGTTCATCTTTGGTAGTAAATAATCATTCAGCAATGTAAATCCTTCCCTTCAGAAAGCGTTATACGTTTTCAATCGAATTAAGGTAGAATGAACAAACTGGCCACTGTAGCAGTCTAGTATCTTATTAGAGACCTAAGTAGCTGACTAGAATATTCAGCTACTTATTTGTTTTCATCGGTATATGTGATGGAGAATTGTTCTCCGTAAAATTCATGCTCTGTCTGAAATTTTGGCCGTTGACAGAACGAAACACGATTCTTTCCAATTCACACTAAACTAACTACACTTTATGCCTTTCCACCTTCCTCAAATGATATACTAAGGTTAAATCTGAGATCAGTATATCAAAATAGGTCAACACTCACTGTCTTTTCCCTCTCTCTAAATACGATAGCAATATCTCTTGATTTTAACCCAGAGTATTTTTTCCATTGCATTTGTGATTTGTTTGTAGGTCTTGAAGATTGAGAGCCGCTTTTTTAGAGCTCTCATGAAATAAAAATTATTACCTATGGGATTTTAATTGTTTGATATTCTTTAATTAATAATAATTTTGCTCTGTCTTTTGACATAGAGCTCTCCATGGATCTATATCCTCCTGGAAATTCCATACGGATTACCATATTGTATCATTGATATATATATATATATATATATATATATATATATATATATATATATATATATATATATGAAGAAATATTCTCTTACGGTGTGCTATATTTATGGATAAAGTGTTCAATATCAGAGATAGAGCGTGTGTAAATATAAAGGTGAACATTGAAGTCAACACTCAGGGCGACAGGCTGTTTCATGCTGAACGCAAACATCAGGCCGCCTGAAGATTGCGTCCAACATGAAACAGCCTGTCACCTCTGGGTTTTGATTTCAATGTTCACTTTTAAGTATATATACATATATATATATATATATATATATATATATATATATATATATATATATATATATATATGTAAGCAAATGTAAATGGATATAGATCCGACAGAATGAAGAAAAATTTGGAAAAAACAAACCAAAAATCCTTAAATGCAATTATGTTGTATAAGATGAATGAAATGTCGACGTCTGACGTTTCGGTTTAATAAACCTTCTTCAGGACAATATTCATTAAAATACAGTTCAGTTCAATTTGACAAAGACGATGGTCATAAAAAAACAAGTCTTATCCAAAACAGATAACTGAAAATTTTTAAAACGATCAGCTTTCCGTTCAGTTAACTTATCTTTATTTTAACAGTATACATAAAATTGTTCACTAATTCCAGTTAATCTTTGCTTTTTTAAGTTTTAATATTTCAACGAATACAAGGCACGAGGGACACTCAAGTAAGAGTATTACAATCAAAAGGATAATGCTGAACGAAATGATTTAAACGATTGGAAGAGAAGATGGTAGGAAATAAAGATTTCATGAAGCAAGATAACGATTGATTTTGGTTGATGAGGTCAAGATTGTAGTGTTTAGGGAAGCTTTCACGTGGTAGTCTATTCCAGTAAGTGGCAGCTCTTGTGTAAAAGCTGTCTAGATGAAACTTTATTTGGAACACGGGGTAGATGAGGGTGATTCAACATCGTGGAAGTAGCACGACGTGTCTTAGCAGTAAAGATATGAATTGGAATTAAAGAATGTAGGTTATCTGAACTTTTGCTATGGATAAAACGATTGAATCGTGACAGTCTTACAACATTGCGCCCGTCGAAAAGAGGTTGCAGAGTACAAAAATGTCATCAACCACATCACCTTCTTTCTTTCCTTTTCTTCTTTTGGCTTATCCTCCCATCCTAATTTTTTTCTTTCCTGGTTTCTTTTTTCAGCATTTTCTTCTTATTCTTCACATTTTCTCTGTCTCCTTTTTCTTAGCGATTCCCTCTCCTATTTCTTTCTCCCTTTAATTATTTTTTTTTTATTTCTTAGTCTTTTCTCTGATTGTATTTATTTACTTTTTCACTTTCCTTCTTTAGCGTTTTCCTCCTGTTCTTCTTTGCCTTCTTTATCCTGCCTATTCTTCCAACCTTTGACCATCATCTTCTCCTTTAACATTACACTTCTTTCTTTACTTTCTTCTTTTCTCTTCTTTTCCGCCTCAGCTTTCTTTTTGACTATTCTGCCTTAGTCTTCGTCTTAATAACCTGCCATTCTCCGTTTCTGTCCGCTTCCTTCCTTTCTCTTCCCTCCGTTCCATTGCCACTTTTAAATCTAATTGAAACGTTCGATCGAAATACGCCTGTAGCATCCGAATATAAGCTTCCTTATATAGCCCGGAAGCAAGACTTAATGGAAGTTCTCTAAGGCACAGAACGACCAAACAAAAGAGTTGACAGCCACATACGATGGCGTCTAGCGATCGTAAAATTCCCGCGCCATCGAGCAACGCCATCTTGAGAAAACTTCAGCGTGCGTTCGTACCGGCCTATAACAAGGGACCATAACAACAGTAAACTGGCGTATTCGATAGCCGTAACCATCGGATGGAGACTAGGAGCTTCATAAATCTTAGAATTATCAAGTAGTTGTTTTTTCTTTATTTTCGTCATCGTATTTGTATTCTATTTTGCCATTTCGTCTTTTCTTCAGCTTCCACCTATTTTTATCTTACGCGTAAAAATTAGAGATGTGAGACAAATATATAAATGTAAGTAAATACACACGACAGTACATTATTACACAAGTACGTTTGTGCGTTAAAAAAGCAAAAGGCTGTGGGCCGAATGACATGTTCAGAGCACCCAGGGAATAAATAGAATAACGCCCAAGCTGTAAGGGATGTTTTAACTGTATTCCAGACAAACATCAGATAAAAATTATATTTTCTTTTTAATTTTACTAAAAAATAATTTACGAGATTCTGCTTATAGTGAAAGTGGCATCAGGCTTGAAAACTTATCCAAACAGTATAAAAATATAGACGTGGTTGGGTGAGAACAGTTATTCACTAAGAACTATGCAAATTCATTTGATTCGATTATACAGTCGAACAGTATTTTTTATTCAGAAGAAATATAAAATGATTTAAGATTTGAAAACTGGATGAATCACTTTATCCGGGGCAGGAAAAAAAGACGAAGTTATTTTTTAAAAAAAGGGAAATTTTGTTACGGATGTTTCAACAGAGCATTGACAGAAGGTGAGGAAAGAATGTAGATATTAGGGCACTGAGCTTGATCTCCATATATGGGAAGTATATTCATGGTAGCTAGAATCACTACAGAACCAGGAATAATTGTAAATACACTTTCAAAAAATTTGGAATCTTTAAAAATCAGCATAATCGTTTAATCAATGAAAAAAAAAACATTGTTGAAATCAGCAAGAATCCTCAGAGGAATGATTCACTTGATCACCAGCAATGACCACAAGATGCCTCTGGTGTGAAAATTCTTCTTCTTCTTCTACTACTACTACTACTATTACATAATAATAATAATAATAATAATAATAATAATAATAATAATAATAAGAAGAAGAAGAAGAAGAAGAAGAAGATATTTGTAAAGTTAATGGAAGAATTAGAAATTCATAAAAAAAATAGACACTAGCTGGAATAGGGAGCTAGAATGCCGAAGAAAAAGCTGAACTTGGTTGGTTGATTTTGTTTAGCTACGTATCAATATCTCTATGGGTTATTTAAAACCAAAATCTAAATACTTTGAACACAATTCTATGCCTTCAATTAAAGATAAAATGTATTGTTGGTTATTTTGCTATAAATGGATTGTGTTGATAATTCCATATATAAAAATGTATTGCTGGTATTTTTAATATAAAAATGTATTGTTGGTATTTTTAATATAAAATGTAGTGATGGCATTTTATTATAAAAATGTATTGCTGGTATTTTATTATAAAAATGTATTTTTATAGATATATAGTATTTTGTTTTTGTTTAGGGGTTCACTATTTGCTCACAGCTGGGACCCTAACAGATGCTACCACCTGGGTCAGGTTGTATCTGGGAACAAAAACAATTAACCTTCAATCACCCGATCAGAGGCCTTGCTGTCGGATGAAGTTTATCGTCATTCCCAGGACTACTGAAGTATGAAAGACACTTGGCGCCACTTGATTTAATGTGAAATGCGGAGAAAACTAAGAGTACTAAATAAATAAATAATAATAATAATAATAATAATAATAATAATAATAATGCCCTGATGCTACACAGGGCACGGCCCTTGTGGCTTTTGATCTTAATTTATTGAAAGTGTTAACATGAAAATGTGCATTGGTGAATTAAAATGTGCTACAGTAAATATCCCGTTCAGTGCCAAACATTTTTCTTGTTAGTTTTCTGACCATAACAATTTGGTCATGTTCCCTATGGGATGACGGTTTGTGCATATCTGCTCATTAGCGGGAGCAGTTTGTTAACATCACAGACGTGTTATATCTTTTAAGTTTGTAGTATGAGATAGCGAAGACTTAGGAACATTCTCCATCGGAAAGCATTCAGACAACGGTTAGTCAATTTAATTCAAAGAAGCTGAATTCTTACTACGACTTATAATAATAATAATAATAATAATAATAATAATAAAAACTAACGCGACTATAAGAAACGTCGTTATTGTCAAAGGTCTATTTATTTGTGCAACTGTGATAATAATTTTATTAAAGTGATGCATTAGCTGTGGAATAGATTAGATATTCACGAACATTTTTTAAGTAAACACTTTTAACTCAGTAATAAGTTTTAATTTCAAATATAAATTCGAGGTGAGTATAAAAGTAAAGAAAATAAAACTACATATCAAATTCTCTCCACCTCGCTTCGATGGGTCAGATGTATTTCTATGAATGGATCGATTTTATTTTATATTCAACTGATTAAGGTACCACATTTTGTCTACGGTAAATTCATGGTTTAACATCTTCTTTATTTGCATAAACATTTGAAATATATTCTCTTGACTTAATCTGAAAGAAAAGAAGAAAAACAGAAATTGTAAAGAAAGAATATAAAGCAAAAAGTAAAAGAAAAATATAAAAAAGTATTTAAAAATAAAGAAAAGAACAAAATGAAAAATTACAAATGTTTAAAAAATGAGTCATAAAACATATGAAATTATAAAAAAAAAATAAAAAGGAATATGAAAAGAATTTAAAAAAAAATCAAATTTTATAAAATGTATAAAAAGAAAAGAAACAGTAAACAAATACACAAAAACAAAAAATAAAATAAAAATATTTGTAACAGATGAAAAAATTGTGAAAAGCATGAAAATAAAAAGAAAAGGAGAAAAATAATCAAAAGTCTAAAAAATAAAAAGGTAAAATGGAAAACAAAAAACAATTACAAAAAAATAAAGAAAAGAAAAGAAAAAATTATGAAAAAAGAAAAGAAAAACAATTATAAAAATGTAAAGAAAAGAAAATATAAACAGTTTGAAAATAAAAAGGAAGTGGGAAAGAAAGAAAAACAATTATAATACGCGTAAAAAATGAAAAAGGAAGGAAAAGAAAAATTATAAAAACGATACAAATAAAAGAAAACGAAATATAGAAAAAAAAAACAATTACGAAAGTGAAAAAATATACAAATGAAAAAGAAAAGAAAAACATGCTAAAGCCCAAGAGAAATAAAAAAAAAAGTTTTGCATTTCCTGGAAATTGTGTTCGATTAGGTGTGATCCTAAAACCATTTATTCTGTGACAGAAAGACACCGAGCTGCAGTGTCTGAATATTAATTTCCCCTCTGACGTTCAAACATAGGAAGATAAAGTAAAAGTATAATGTATATATGCTGGAAAGAAGGTTAGAAAAATAATACAGAAATTATCCCAATAAAGCCAGAATTGATAGAATACTGATACAGTAAAATATGATATGGGTTCAAATGTTTTGAAAAAAATATTAACATTTCCCAGATTTTATGTATCTCAGACATGATGTTGTCCGTTGAGTTATCGTGAAAATATTCACCGTGTCATTCACATCATAATAATACCATTACATAGAAAATGACATACATATTGTATTTCCTGGGAGAGATCCAGTTTTAGATCGAACACGACACGACTTTGAATATTTCGTTTAGGTCTAATGCTTTGCTTCAATGTGTTGACAATTTTTCATGTCAGAAATTATCTAATGTACTTATGAGTCTACTTTTCGTCCGTATATTGAGTACTGCTGCCACATTTGTTCTAATGCTTTTGATATATATCTACATATTCATGACAACATCCCTGGAAGAATCTGCAATATTATCGGTCTTGACCTGGCATCTCGGCTTCAGTCACTTTCTCGCCGCCGTAAAATAGCTTCCCTGTCCTTTTTTAAATAAAGATTTTCATCGTAACTGTTCTGATGAACTTTTCTCTTTGGTACTTAGATTTCCCGAATTTAAGCACAGTACTTGATTGGCAGTTAGGTTTCATTATTTCACTGTTAAAATTGCTAGATATAACTAGAAGATCTATGCTTACAGATTTTTTTTTACTTTCTACTTGTGTAACTCTCGTTTGGCTTATTGATTTCCTATAAACAATGATTTTCAAAAATTTAAATGCAACGGCAATCCTTATCTTCTGTCTTCTTGAAACCCGTACATTTATTGTCCTTTCTCCTCAATAATATTTTTAATTTTCTTTCGCTCTCAGTAACCCTTTGCTCCTGAGTGGCTTTATCACCTTCTTGGGAGGAAATGTTTAAAAAAAAATACCATCATCGTCTTATATCAAAATATGCGAATAAGGGTAAAAAGAGAGCAAACAAAAAATGAAAAATTAAAAACGCTTTCAGTCGTACATGAATAAAAAAAGAAATGCCCGAGAAAAACAACTTGGGTGGGTTGAGGTAAACGTCCCTCTGCTGGTGTGGTTTCTGTGCCCCAGGATTCCAGTTGGCATTTCATAAAATCGGAGCTCAATGGTCGTAAAAATGACAAAGACTAATGTCATACGTGTGTGTCTGAAAAGTTCCACGTGAACGAGAAACCCCGTCAGTGCTTCTCACGTCTGGAGCTGGGGCTGGTTAGTCACGGGGAATGGGGATAGAGTTACCAAACCAAGGTTCTATTTCCTACCGCACGGATCATCCTGTCCCCAATACGACTGCTCATCATTCTGAATTAATATTTACAAACCTGAAGAAGAGATGGTGGCAGAGAGAGA